AGCTCTTTCCAGAACTGTCCTTGAGAGAACAGCTCTGACAGAACTATGTCTTGCCCAAGGTCATCCAGCAGCTGGAGGAGGAAGAAGAGGAGGAGGAGGCGGACATTGGATTTATACCCCGCCCTTCACTCGGAGTCTCAGAGTGGCTTACAAACTCCTTCCCTTCTCCTCCCCACAACAGACGTCCTGTGAGGTAGGTGGGGCTGAGAGAGCTCTTTCCAGAACTGTCCTTGAGAGAACAGCTCTGACAGAACTATGGCTTGCCCAAGGTCATCCAGCAGCTGCAGAAGTGGGGAATCGAACCCAGTTCTCCCAGATTAGATTCCGTGCACTTAACCACTGTACCAAATTGGCTCTCGCACAGGTGTTGTACAAATGGGACTTTACTTAGTCTGCTACGTTTCCGCTTGCACGTTGCTGGATCCATGCTTTTGCCTCGGATCTTATCTTTCCGTCAACCAACACCTGCAGTCTAAGACTTCTAAAGCATGTCAAACAGATTGGTTTTGATATGATGTATTTGTATTTACATGGTACATTTTTAAAGCAATAGCTATAATGGATCATACATATTAGAAACAATAATAAAAAAGTTAAGAACTAAAATGTACATCATACACTTGTATATATATTCTTTACACGGAGGTAAAAAGGCTTATAAAAATCAATACAACAGAGTTTTAAACTTTTCGTATATAGATACATAATGGAAATTTGCTTCAGGCACTTAAATTTGTTAATGTGAGCAATAGCTTGGGAACAATTTTTTTTTTTAATTTCACAACTTAAAAAAAACAACAACACCAACCAACCAAACCAACTTTTGGTTAATGGATTGTTACCACCGATACAAAAATAAAATTTGAATAATTATTCTCAGACAATTTGATGTCAGTATTGAAAAACTGACCGGGGGGTGTGGGGGGAGCCACACTGTACAGCTGCAGTGTGGAAATCAAGGAGAAATATTTACAAAAAAAAAAAATCGCCCCCGTTTCTATCCTTGTGCCCTTTTTAGTGCTCCCTTTGCAAAAATACCCCCCCCCCCAAGAATAAAACCTAAAATACAAAACAGATCAACGCAAAACCAAGGAGGAAATGAACAGGAAGAGGAGGAGGAAGATAATGTACAAGGCGTGGAGCGTGAGAGATAAATAGGGGCACTTCACAGAATCCGTAAGATCTCTTCTGTAGTGTTGTGCTTTGTTAGAGGGGTCCTGAGACCTTACAGGGATTCGGGAAAGCGAAACAACTCATTTGAAAAGACCCCCCCCCCAAAAAAATGTTGTTCCGCTACTTTTGTTTTTGAGGCTGACTCGATGTTCCCTAGACACCTTTGAGAGATTTGTCATTTGCGTTTCAGGCACAAAAATATTTAGTTTATTCCCCCCCCCCACCGAGATTATCAAGAACAAGTAAAAAATAATAATAAAAACCAAAAAAAGAGCTTCCCTTACCGTTTTGCATTCTTTTAAAATACAAATGCGGAACCTCGCTATCTCTGTAAAATTGATGTTACCGGCAAAATCCCAAACCTTGGGATCTTTAATAGGGGAGTTTTTTTAGAGCCAACCAAATGCTCTGTGCAGAGAGAGGGGTGAAAGAGGGTTGGGCTGTACCACTTCAGACTGCAACCGGGGGGGGGGGGGGGGCAATTTTTTCTTGGAGACTCGTGTACAAAAAACCAAAAACCAACTCCTTGCATAGTAAGCTAGCGTATCAGTCATGCCAAATATCTCCCTGCTGCTAGCTTTTTACATGCGGGGCATTGGGTGTGTCAAATCAAAAAGAACAACCCCTCCCGAACCTCCCACGCATAGTGAGAAAAATGGCATGTGCTCAGAATTCCACCTCGATTCACCCCTTCATTCTATGTAAATTGTAGATCAACCCTGCCCTCATGGTTAGGTTACTTTTGTGGGTGATAGGGTGTTACCACATGGCTCTTTTCCATCTCACAAAAATCACTTGAGAAGCTAAAGGCCACGTGGGAAGAGTGGCCCCTGCAACTCCTCCCAAATTTAGAATTGACTCTCCCGGAAACTGAGGCAATATTGATGTAAAAAGAGATGCCAACCCATGGCTGGCAATCTTTGGGAGCAAAGGGGAGGGGGCATGGCAACTTCTTGAAAGCCACTTCCTGTTTGAAACAGGAAGTTATGACACTCCGGAACTTTCAAAAAAGAAATCTCTCTGGTAAAACCATAAAGATTTTTGAAACGTCTTGAATGTCATGACCTCACTTCCTGTTTTGAAACAGAAAGTGGCTTTCTAGGCTTTTTCCCCCTCCCATTTTCCTCGTGCTGCTCCGCTGAGCGAGGGTGGAAGAGGGAACATCACCTTAGATGCTGGGAAGAACCGCAGGATAAGTTCCTCTCACATGTCCAGGCATTACAACATGAGAAGGGGCCTCTCTATCGAGGCTCCTGTGCTGCAAAAGTCACGTGTGATGGGACCTTTGAAAGAGTTTCCAGTTTCCACACACTGGGTTTCCTCATTCCTTTTTGACACCATACTATAAGGCCTGCTCCCGAAGGCCCCCCGATTTTCAGGAGTGGCTTACCAGGAGGCACCTGAGGAGGATGAAGAGCCATCCTCCTGGAAACAAAACACCCTCCCAAACACTGCTCACCACATGGCCCTTGGGGAGGGCAATCCATTTTTCTCTTACAGACCCAACGCTTATTGCGATTTGCCCAACAGAGTCGGCCTAACTCTTGGCCAAACAATCAAATCAGCGTCGGAGTGTCTATCTCCTCACATGCTCAAGCTTCATGATCCTTCGACCAGATACACCGTTGCATATGTTATTCACTGTGACATTTTTGAAAAGACAGCGAGACTCCAAGAAAAAGCGGCTGGCCCGAGAAGTAGCAGATGGGTCACTATTTGGCAAAACTAAAATAAAATAACCCTTTTCCTTTAAGACTCGCGTCTAACATGCAATAAGGAGGGCGGGAGTGGGGCAGGGCGAGGGGGGCACGGGCATGCACTCACTGGCAATCGACTGCGGAAAGGCATTATGGCAGGAACAGCAGCGCCAGGTCACACAAGCCGATTCCCTAGCTGCCTCCGAATGTTCCGATTGTACTCTGCTATATTATAGCTAAACGGCTCTAGCATTATTCCTTTGAATAAAAATTATCTTTTTTTTTTGCTATTCCACGTCATATATTAGAAAAATATTCTCCCCCCCCGCTAATTTACAAGCCTTGTACACAAGACATGGCTTTTAAGAAACACAATACCCAGAAAAGGGGGGAAAAATAAGGTAAAAAGAAATCAAATTCACACAAATTTAGAAGTGTCTTCTTTTTTTAACCCTGCTGTATGTATTTTCACCACATACATAAAAACCATATGGATATAAGACCCTGCAAAGCATACGTGCCTGATAGACAACCGAACTATCCCGAAGGCAAATGATTTCTAGAGTACTTTTTGTCATCCAGGGCGGATTCCTAGTGTTTGATTTCTTGGAACTAGGGTGACCAAGCACCTTGGATTTACATGGCTCCAATCCTGAGATGGTGGCGGTTGCCCGTTTTGGCCCTAGGGGACTGGCAGTGCTATCCTATGTAGAATTACTCCCGTCTTGGCCCACTGACATTGATGCGCTAAGCCAAGAGAAACTCGTCATAGGATTTCTGCCGTTGGTGCGTCCCAGAACTAAACCCTGCCCCTGTCGTCCACATGGCAGACGGAAGTGTGGCATCGAGACTGGCCCCACACCAACAAAAACCTTCTAATACTATAGCAAATTTTTTTGGCTCTTGATGCGGTTTCGCCGCACTTGTTATCTGTGCGCGGCAGCATTCCACCGCAAATGAGGGGTAGCTCTCTTCTGGATCAGCGCCTTAGGGACCGACAACATTTTCAAGCGATAAACTTTTACGAGCCAAGGGAGCGCTGAGCCTCGAATGATTACCCCCAGAAAAATCTCGTTGCTCTATAAGGTGCTGCTGGACTGAATCTAGCTCTTCGATTGCAGGCCGACATGGCTACCCTCTAAAACTCTCTTGTGGATGTGACTTCAGTGGGAATTGATGTGCATTCACAGAAACACATCTGCCTTGCAGAACAGTAGGGGGAAACCATCTCAAGAAGACCTCTGCAACGTATGCACAGTACCGACTCCTTATCGAAACCATCCAAAAATCGGCGTCACCCAAATTGGCTGTGTCCCCACCAGGCCAAGGCGGTTTTCTAACACTATGTATCTCAACATTTCTCACGGTAATACCAAATGTTCTGGATGCCCTCTTGGAACTCTGGATAAACGAGGTTATATCGTACATATAAAACGGTTATTTTAAATTTGTCTCAAAGGTGAATGCATAATTCGCATGCACGTATACTTTCCCTGTATATAAAAATTAGATTTTTTTGTGTTATTCACTTTTGCAAATAGATGAGCTACTTCTTTAAATGATTCTTTGCATACTTTTTATTTGGGGGAGGGAACCTAGATCTCTTAGGGCAGAGCTTTCAACGTTAAAACACAAGTAAGGGCAGGGTCCAACCAAAGTTAAGACATTAAAGACTGCAATCCTTATCTATACACACTCACTTAGGAGTAGGGTTGCCAAAGTCCATCTTCCACCCCCAGCGGAGGACTTTGGGGGCGTTCCTGGAGGGGGCGGGGCATCCCCGACATGATGTCACGTTGGGGACGTCCGCCGCCCCTCCCAGCCCGTGCGCCAGATCTCCAGAAACGGCAGTTTCCTGCACTTAAAGGAGCCGGCGTTTCCCCTTTCAATGCAGGAACCGGCGTTTCCCCTTTAAGAGCAGCCGCGTTTCCCTTTTAAGAGCAGGGAGCTGGCATTTCCCTGCAAGCTTGCGGAGATCAGGCTTGGGAGGAAACACGGGTTCCACACACTTAAAGGGAGAGAGATGGGTGGCTGTGGGTGTTGGGAGTGGGGCTTGGTAGAACCCCCCCAAAACGGGGGATCCCTGGCAAACTGGGGGGGGGGGTTTGGCAACCTTACTTAGGCGTAAATCGCATAGAAATTAGTGAGATCTATTTCTGAAACACACCGGGGGGGGGGCATTCAATACACCACAATCAGCTCTGAACTGGCAGTAACTCTCGAGCTAAAGATCGCAGGACTGTCAGTCTGATCCTAAGCAAAGTCAGGTCGATCAAAGCCAGTAGGCTTGGAAGGGGTCCGCTCTGTTTAGGATGACACTGCACGGCACTAAGCTCCATGAAAACATCAACACAGTGTGCAGCAGCATTGAAAAAGGGCAAAATTCCTTTCCCGGGACAATTAGGAAAGGGACTCGGAGAAGAAAAAGAAAGGAAACCAACCAAGAACCGAAATGCCTCTGTACAATTTTCACAGCATACAGTTCGGGTCACTCCCAAACCAGAAAGGGCATCTAAGCTGGGAAAAAAAGGGTACTAAAAAGGAGTTGGAGTCTCTACCCTGTGGGTAAAGGCTCAAGGACACAGTGTTTTTATAATTCCAAGGAAGAGAACTAAGTGGTAGAGATGGGGAAGCAAAAAAGGTTTGTAAAATTGTGAATGGTGTATGTGTGTATATGGGGGGGAGCTGTCAGCCCCTCCTAATACTCAAAATCAGGGAAGTTAACCGATTAGCAATAGATTCAGGACAGGAAACTTGGTTTCACACAACCAATAGTTAACTTGGGAAATCCCTGCCAACAATGGCTTTAAATTATTATTATTTTTTAAAAAGACATTAGATAACTTCATGGCCTATTGCTCCATTAATTAAGATACCTAACAATGGAACGTTTTTTTATAGGTAAGCCTCGGAATAGCAGATGCCAGTAGTGGGGATTAAAAAAACCCCGATTGCTTGTTGTGGACTTCTTGAAATCAACTCGCTAGTTGATGGTGGAAGCAAGATGGGCCCTTGGTGATCCAGCACGGCCGTTCGGGAGCAAACCCTAAGGAGGTCTACTAAGAAGTGAGCCCCGTTTTATTCAGTGGGGTTTACACTCTCAGGGAAGAGTTTTTCAGGATTGCCGTCTTCTGATAAGTTTGGTTGGATCATGCCCAATGTGTGTACATGAAGAACTGCGATTGTACAAGAGGAACGCACACCCTTTTAAAAAAATCTCAAGAGCATTCTGTCAAGACCCGAGGTATTTCATGCTATGGGATACACCACAAGCGTACCATGTGGGTGTTAATTTCCTAACCCGTAATGCCAACCCATTATTTCCAAACAGACACACCTAAGGGTAAAGTGTATTTTTACTGTGGAGAATGTCAGCACTAAAGCTTTATTTAAGGCATGGGGGGAGAAAGGACAACACAACATTTCCCTTTCATACGAAAAATTGGCCTGAAATGAAGAGTTCCCATTCCCCAAACATACTAAGGCTCATATCGAATATTTCACTTGATTGATTGAAATTCCGGGGAACCACTGAAAGTGACTGTTGAAAGAAATGACAACGGACCCTTAAGAACACCACCACTGGCGCGAATCGTTTAGCGAAAGATTGTCAGCAATACTATGTCATGGTATGCACAGCGAACAAGCACGCTTTCTGTTCGCACAGAAGCAGTAACTGGCTGCGAGTTAATAAACACGCGCCGAAGTAGGATTTCTCTCCGTTCACGCTACATTTTCCCGGGGCCCAACAAGCTCGCCATGTACAGATACCAACCCCGAGATGCTTAGAAGTCCATCACACTCAACCATGTTTCTGTAATCTCTCAGCCGGGGGCGAGATAGGGGGAGAAGGTATGAACACGTACGGGACATTCTGCTCTGTTACAGATTAATAATACGAACGTCTACGCTGCACGTTAGTCTGTTAGAACTCGGTGAGCAAATCAATGCATAGCAGCCAAGTGGGAGAGGGGAGAAAGAGTGAGCCAAACTGGGTTTCTGGATTCCGTCAGACTCCCCGGGGGATGTGTCCAGATGTACATAACGTTTGAGAATGTTCCAGATCAAGGTGCTCCTTAGTTAAAAAGAAGAAAGACAAAAATGTAAAGTACTTCACAAGCTTCGAGTGCCGTCATCCAGCCGCTTTGTGTTTCCCGCCGCAGCACCTGCACATGACCCCGCAGTGGTAACAAGCCCGCAGAGGTGGATAACAGCACATACAAGGGGCGATAAAGGACAAGGCGATAAGGGCCAACCACCGGAGGCAAAACTTGTCATCATTGGTATCGCAAGAACAAGGGTCCGTATAGTCTCCTTCGGGATCAGACATGCAGTGATACAGCATACTGTCTGCGCACCACATACAGCTGACTCGGCGGATGCAGCTCCTCGCTCGGTCTGGCGCGTCCTGGCACTGACCCCGCCTGTTTTCATCATGATTGAACATGTCCCTGCAGTAGACACATCGTGACCTCTCCCCTTCTTCCTTCCACCGCCCTTGTTTGCACCGGACAGGCTGAGTCTTTACCACGGCACCCTTGATATCGTCCCCCAGGTCAAAGTCTGAGTTGCCAACGTACGGGTAAGTGTAATCATGTTTGGGGGCATTGTCTTTGGCAAACCGAACGTACGAGTCCCCATCGTCCGGGTCGATGTACTTCCCCCGCATAGGGGTATGGCGGTAGTCCTCATAACCCGTCACCCAGATCTTTTCCCGTGGATTGATCCGTACGATTTCTTCATCGTCATCTGGGAAGCTGACGTGCCGATAAGATCTTGGAAGTGACTGTTGAAGGGGAATAAAAAAGTGCACATTTTTCATAAATCAACACTAGATTTTAATGAGATTTTGAATGCAGCTAGTAGCCTTGGCCTAGCCTGATCTCATCAGATATCAGAAACTAAGCTTAGGAAATGTCCCCTAGCCCCAAGAACAGTGTTTCATTTTTCCCCCCAATGAAAACGTTGGTTAATACTGAGATGGGAGAACACCACGAAAGTCTGTAGTTGCTATGCAAAAGTAGGCAATAGCAAACCACCTCTAAATGTCTCTTGCCTTGAAAACCCTACGGGGTTGCCATATGTCAACTGTGTTGACGGCGCTTTCCACCACCACAGTAGCTTTAACACACACACACTTTTAAATAGGTTGCCGGATCTCTATCTTTAGGATAGGGCAAGTCATACAAAATATATTTTCAGTACTCGCTTTTTCACTGATCCAAAAGTGGAGATGTGAAAGCCCAGGAAAACAACCAGAAAAGCTTAAGAAATGCCCCCCTGGCCCCAAGAACAGTGTTTCATTCCCCCCCCCCAATGAAAACAAAACTTGTATGTAATATTTTCTTTCTTTTAAGTGAAATGGGTTAAGATCGCATAGGGTGAAGCAGGAGTCATTTAGTAGAAAAAGAGGTGCAGGAGCTCATTAGCATAACTCATTTGCATATGCCACACCCCCTGACACCACTGGAAGTGTGTCAGAAGGCAACACCCACCGCTCAGGCTCCACTGGACTGTTTTGCATTGCTAGCTATTGGGGGGGGGGGAACGTGCAGATCTGTCCTCCCAGAGGAGGGAGAGCTTGTACCTGAATAAAACTTGGTCTTAAAGGTACCACTGGACTGTCTTGGACCTGGGGGGGCGGGGGGAGCTCTGCAGCTTACCTGGCTGCTTCTTGCTCTGACTGAGGGCTGCTGGGAGCAGGGGGTGGGGCTTGTTGCATGTGCCCGCCCCTTGGACTCTTTACTGCCGGAGCTCCACTCCTGCATGAAATGACCCCTGCGTTGCAGCAACTTGCGACTTTCTCTCACTTTAGAGTTGGGTATATTTGTAACTTTGCTCGTAGAAAACAAAGGCATTTACCATTTTAAATCTCCCTGATATACCAATTAATACAACTTAACAGCCTAAGGTAAAAGTGATTTCATTCATGTTGTCAAAGGAACAAAATGGATTTAGGCGCAACGGGCGAGTAAGTATTGAGTATTTCCCCGATTTTCCCCACCATTCCCATAATTTCTCCACGGTTTCAAAACTTCTGGAAATCTGACATCTCTTTCCAAATATCACAGATATTACACATAAATGAAGGGACCATTTATTCGTTCAAAAGGATTCCTCTGTTTGAATACTAAATCTAATGAAGATCCAAGATAACCATCATAGGTGCAGCCGAAAGTTCATGTAACACAGAACAAGGGCCGAACGAGATGTGACAACATTCCCAGATTTGACTTGTGGATGCCGCAGCCATTTTAAAGGGGGTTATAAACACTGCAAGGGCCTGATCTAAATTGGGATGGCCAGGCAGCAGGCTCAGGGACTCATTTTCCCTTCTGGGCCAGAAGAGGGCAACCAGGATGGCGAGAGGGTTGGAATCCAAGTCTTACGAGGAAAGGCTAAAAGAGAAGGCTTAGAGGGGACATGATTCCAGTCTTCAAATATTTGAAGGGCTGTCATGTAGAAGATGGAGCAGATCTACTCTCTCTTCCTTCCGGATTGCAAGACTAGATCTAATGGGTGGAAATTACAAGGGAGTCGATACCGGCTAAATATCAGGAGAAACTTCCTAACCGTAAGGATGGTTGAGCAGTGGAACAGATTGCCTCGGGAGGTGGCGGATGCTCCTTCGCTGGACGTTTTCAAGCGGAGGCTGGACGACCATCTTTCGGGTATGTTGTAGGGCTATCTTCCAGCTATGCTCCTGCAGAGTGCAGGGGGTTGGACTAGATGACCTGCAAGGTCCCTTTCAACTCTAACATTCTATGATTCTATGAAATGCTAAAATGGCCGCAGGGGTGGGTGGGTGCAACCATTTCAACACTCGAAAAGGGTGTGCGTGTGGTGGGAAGAGCCTCACAGCATTTTAAAGGTAGATCCAGGTAGTCAGCCATGTTGGTTATGAAGCAGTAGACCAAATTTAGAGTCCAGATGCACCCATGCCTTGAATAAAACTTTGTTGGTCTTAAAAGCACCACTGGGCTCTAAATTTGTTCTACAGCATTTTAAAATCTCTTTAAAATGGGGGCTTCGTCCTCGAGTTTCGCCCCTGGAAGCCGTCACATCTAGTTTGGCCTTACAAGCAGATTAAAAAGGGGATCATACACGCAATCTACGTACACATGAGCTGCTCCTGTCACATGATCCCTTCCAGCTGTACCCAAGAAAACTGTAATGTAGCGAAAACAGCTATGTGACCTGGGCTATATGAGGATTCTTGTGATCGCAACAGCTGGGGGGAAATTATGGAAACTGAACAGTTAGCATTCACATGAACAAACACACGAACCACTGGTTCATCAGGGTCAGTATTGTCCACACAGACTAGTAGCTGGCTGGTCAGGGTCTCCGGTGGACTTCATCACTGGAGAATTGTTTTGGATTGACAGAGGAAAGGACTCACTTGTTCCAGATGATAGTGGTCAGAGCTGAACTGGTCATGGATATGTCCCAGGGTGCAAATTCGATGGTGCTCGCAGGACGGAGGAGATGCTAGTGTTTGCAAAGGTTGCTCCCTCTTCTGAGAAGAATTAGAAGAGCTATCCGTAGCGTTCTGTTGGGGACATAAAAGGGGTGGGGGAGGAATGGTGAGTAAAAGAGAGCTTGATTTCAGTAGACTCCAGCCAATTCATTGCTGAAGAACAACAGTACAACTCAGCCAACGGTAGTGGCTTTATTGCAAATGGCACTTGAAATTTCGGGTTCTTGAGCAAAAGCGAATTCACATCTCAATAACTAGCCGTTGTCTAAAACAAGGAATGGCTGTGCAGTTCTCTGGGTTCCGCCCCTCTAAGATTTCAGTCTCAGTTTAATAACTGCCACCAGTGTTCCCTCTAAGCTGGGTTAGTGTGAACTAGCTCACAGTTTTTTTAGCCTCCGGCTCACACACTTTTGTCTTCGCTCAGGAAGGATGGCTCCAGAGCAAACAAAGTTATGCAGTCGCCAAATTGCTCACTCACTCACAGCTTTAATGCCAGTAGCTCACAAGGTAGAATTTTTGCTCACAAGAATCCACAGCTTAGAGGGAGCATTGACTGCCACCAAGTTAGGCGGGTCACAACGAAATCTAGCAACGCCCAGCTTTCGGTTGAAGTTTCCCGGTAGAATCACTGGGTTTCTTTTAAATTTCAGATGGAAGCCTGAGATGTTTGTCCCATCCAAAAATACCTTTGGCGCAGAAACCTGCCCTATCCATTTGCCGTTCCCAGAACTGTAGGAAGAGTTCCTAGGTCACACAACATGTGTGTCCCACAGGAAATTACACACAGCGTGGGTCAAACTTGGCCACTCAGCAAAAAGCTTCTCCAGGGCTCACCCGATCCACAAACTACCCCTCCAAATGGAGGTCTGATACTTATGAAGGCGAATTTCCACCCGTGGCTGGTTCTGAAACGGGCAACCAACAGGCCAGTAAAATAAGGCTGTGTGTTTTAAGTCCTGCTTTAACCTAGCACCTGCATATACATCTTAAAACATGGAAGCAAAAATACAGGTAGGGGTATTCATAATGACATTACGACAAGCCTGATACGAACTAGCGTTCATCCAATCGCGTAATTTAAGAGTAGGCCGAATATTCTGCCTCCCATTCCCCCCCCAAAAAAGCAGTTTGGTTTAAAACACAAATTGAACAGTAAAACATGATCCCGAGTAGTGAACTGACAAGCCATGCTCCCTGTCTCTCAGTTTTAGGTAAAGGTAAAGGTTCCCTTGCTCGAAAGCCAGTCGAATCCGACTCTAGGGTTGCGGTGCTCATCTCCGTTTCAAAGCCGAAGAGCCAGCGCTGTCCGAAGACATTTCCGTGGTCATGTGGCCGGCATGACTAAACACCAAGGCGCACGGAACGCTGTTACCTTCCCACTGAAGTGGTCCCTATTTATCTACTTGCAATTTCTTGCTTTCGAACTGCTAGGTTGGTAGGAGCTGGAACTAGAGACAGGAGCTCACCCTGTCTTGCGGCACCCGGGTCTTGAACCGCTGAACTACTGACCTTCCACAGCCTGCAGTTCAGTGTCTTAACCACTTGAGCCACCGCAGTTTTACTGTAGTGGAAATTTATTTTATTTATTTATAAGTTCCATTTATAGCCTGCCCTCCCTGCGGCGCGGGCTCAGGGCGGCTCACAGTCAGGCATAAGCCAGCGCATAAAACACATTTAAAAACCATTTAAAACAATTTCTACACTATTACGACATTATTATTAAGTGCTCTGGATGTTCCGAATTGATCTTCCATAAAGATGGTGTATAATGCTGTTATATCCGCTCAGTGCCATCTGTTCCGCTTGGCGCTGTCGTTCTTTCTCCCAGGGCCAGATGAAGATGGTACAGTAGTGGCGGCTTCTACTCAAATGCCTGGCGGAAGAGCTCCGCCTTACAGGCCCTGCGGAACTGTACAAGGTCCCGCAGGGCCCGGGTCTGATGTGGCGGATCCTACTGGCTGGGAAGGGGATGTAAAGCCATGTGACTATTTCTTTCATTTCTCAGGCCAATGTTTTTCTCAACATTGGAGGTGGGGTCGACATGGTCCCTAAAGCTGCATTCAGGAGGTTTTCCTAAGAGAAACTCATCTTGGACTAGGAAGGTTGCGGGCCGCCATGTTGCCCCCCAACCCTCCATGTAAGTAAATTCGATTCTGATCCTACGAAGCAGACATACCTTATGACCAAGTTACACTGAAATCGACAGGCCTGCAGATGGCAAGATTCCTACTGATTTTCAACAGGTCTTGCCTCTCGTGCTCGGCAAACTCCCATGCTCACAGTTTCTCAGAACCAGCAGTTTGGAGGATCCATTGGTGGAAGCTCCCAACAAGCATGGAGTCCTCGCATGCCACCCTCTCCCTAGCAGTCATTCTTGATCCCGGGAAAGCTTATTTTCAGGGTTTTAGGACCAGCATGGATTAATAGCTATGTGGGCCCAAGGTAGTTTTATCTTGTTAGACAAAAAAGAAAAGGGAGGTATGGGAGTGCCGGATTGGTATCTTTACTACAAGGCCATAGCTATGGTCTGGATAAGAGAATGGGCGACTCTATTGAATGTGAGAATCCTTAAAATGGAGGGTCATGATGATCTCCCTATGGGGTGGGCATGCCAGCATGTGGTACAATAAGGAAAAGAAATATTTCGAATGTCACTTTATAAGAAGTTCTCTATTTAAAGTTTGGAAAGAAATTAAATATCATTATTATGCTAAAATTCCCAGATGGGTATCACCCATAGAGGCTTGGGTGAAACCATTGTTATATATGAACGAACGATGGTGTTGCTACGATGACCTGTTAGATCGTAAGGGCAAACTGAAACCAACAGAAGTTTTGAAATCACAAAACATCAAGCTATCTTAGTTACAAAATATGGAGTTACAATCTAGGTACGAAGGGTTCTATGATAATCTGACGGGCATAGACAAGATTTGGCTTGACTCCGGAGGGAAATTGATAAGAAAATTATATATATATTTTTAGATTTCAAAATGCAAGATGAAGTGATTTAAAAAAATTGCTTCCTGACCCCAAAGTGGTGATCGGCATTTCCCTGGGCGTGTAAGAAAGGGCCACGAGAACTGGACACTGATGCAACCCTTCCTGCCCCCCCTCTCATGATCTGCCTAATTTCACACAATCAGCATTGCTGCCAGATGGCCAATCAGCCTCTGTTTGCAAAACTCCAAAGGAGGAGAGCCCACCACCTCCCGAGGAAGCCTGTCCCACTGAGGAACCGCTCAAAAAAACGCTCTGAACGTCAGGAAGTTCATCCCGATGTTTAGTTGAAAACTGTTTTGATTTAATTTCAACCCGTTGGTTCTGGTCCAACCTTGAAGCTGCCTTATACTGAATCAGACCCTTGGGTCTACCATGGGTCTGATTTCACATCGTGTCCTACTTGATCCTTTTAACTGGAGATGCCGGGGATTGAACCTGGGACCCTCTGCATGCCAAGCAGATGCTCTACCACTGAGCCACAGCTCCTCCTTTCTGGTTACTTAGCTTAGGGTTCCCAAAACAAGAGATGTTCAAGGTTGCCATTGCTTTCCTTTGCGTAGGGACCTTGGACTTCTTCCGTGGTCTCCCATCCAAGTACGAACCAGGGCTGACCCTACTTAGCTTCCGAGATATGTCGAGGTCAGGCTGGCCTGGGCCATTCCAGTCAGGTCAGAGGTGGTCTGCCATTGCCTGTCTCCGTGCATCAGGCCTGGACTCCCTCCTTGGCGGTCTTCCCATCCAAGTACCGACCAAGGCTGACGCTGCTCAGCTTCTGAGATATGTCACGATCAATGCTCCCTCTGAGCTGTGGAGTCTTGTGAGCAAAAATTCTCCTTTGTGAGCTGCTGGCATTAAAGTTGTGAGCGAGCGATTTGGCTGCGGCATCAATTAGTTTGCTCTGGAGCCGTCCTTCCTGAGCGAAGGCAAACGTGTGTGAGCCAGAGGCTAAAAAACTGTGAGCTGGCTCACTCTAACTCAGCTTGGAGGGAACACTGGTCACAATGGGCCTAGCCTGGACCATCCAGGTCAGGGGCAAGAAAGGGATATCACCGGTGGGGAAAAACCCCAAACAGGAGTCCTCCGACTCTGCAAAGATCGACATGTTTTTGTTTTAGCACGAAGATTCCGTGGACTCGGGTCCACTTCGGCAGAAGCAAGAGACGGGTCTCGTTCGCTTCCCACCCTCTGTCCTCGTCAAGTTCTAAAGAAAAAGGAAGAACGTGGTAAACAGCCGACTCCAAAGGGCCACAAGAGATAGGAAGATGCAATTATGTAACCCAGAGACGGTTTTCAACAACAAGCAGAGAGATCATTTTCTACAACAGTAACTGGTAATAACACAACAACAAAAATATCAATAATAATACTGTGACAGCAGCCATGAAATTAAAAGACGCCTGCTCCTTGGGAGGAAAGCAATGGCGAACCTAAACAGCATGATAAAAAGTAGAGACATCACCCTGCCAACAAAAGTCCGCATGGTCAAAGCAATGGTATTCCCAGTAGTCATGTATGGCTGCGAGAGTTGGACTATAAGGAAGGCCGAGCGCCGCAGAATAGATTCTTTTGAACTATGGTGCTGGAGAAGACTCTTGAGAGTCCCTTGGACTGCAAGAAGATCAAATCAGTCAATCCTCAAAGAAATCAACCCTGACTGTTCCCTGGAAGGCCAGATAATGAAGCTGAAGCTCAAATACTCTGGCCACCAAACGAGAAGGGAGCACTCACTGGAGAAGACCCCGATGCTGGGAAAGATTGAAGGTCAAAGAAGACGGGGACGGCAAAGGATGAGATGGTTAGACAGTGTCATCGATGCAACGAACATGAAATTGAGCGAACTTCAGAGGATGGCGGAAAACAGGAGGGCCTGGCGAAATCTTGTCCATGGGGTCGCGAAGAGTCGGACTCGACTGTGCAACTGAACAACAACAACAACAATAATACTATCAACAACAACAACAAAAGATTCTTTTGCCTGTGGAAGATAAACCACATCCGCAACCTCATGTGTGAGGGGTGGTGTGGCGAACTGGTTAGAGCACAGATGTCGAACTGATTTCTTACAAGAG